ATGTCACTTTCCTGCTTGACACCGGCTCCTCATGACACTGGGCCAGCATCATGGATGCTGACGGCATCTCCCGTCTCACCAGCCCCAACTGAGTTCCTGGATCCTGACTTCCTCTCTCTTTCTCCTCCCACCTCACTTTGGGCACACCCAAGAGTCACTCTGGCCAAAGGACAACTCAAGGGTCATCCTTGAGTCCTCTCCCTCGTGCCCAGATCAATCCAGCGACAAATTCTATCAGCTCTACCTCCAAAATGTATTTGCAATTATTTGTTTCCACCACGATTGCACTATTTTAAGCCTTCAACTCCTCTTTCTTGAACTACATGACAGCCTCTTGTGGTAGGTTGATTGCAAAAATGGCTGCAATCTTTTACTCTTTCCTGCATCCAGGCTCTTTGCAATGTGACTCAGCAGCTCCTTCCTTCTATAAGTGAAGTCTATTTCTCCACCCCCTAATCTGAGCTGACCTTGGGACTTGCTTTGGCCACTATAGACTCCAATGAGGTGACAGTGTGCCAGTTCTGAGCCTAGGCCTCGCACCTGTCTTGGAACCCTGCCACCACCGTGAGCACATGCCCAGGCTGCCTGTAGAAGATGATATGCATGGAGCAGAGACCAGCATCCCGGTCCAGGCCGTCCTGGACCAGCCAATCCTCAGCTAACCCATGCACCCAGCCTAGATCAGAAGGGCTGTTCAGAAGACCTGTGGAGCTGAGGAGTTATACTGTTTAAGCTATGTTTTGGGGTAATTTGTTCCAGAGACGTAGCTAACTGCTATACCTCCTTAAACTGTCACCAGCTATCCCTTCTTCTCACAGTATTTTCTGCTCCAGAAGCCAGGGGAGCGGTTGTCGCCCTCTGCTTGTCTCCTGCTGCTGCTCGAAGGAGCTCCCAGCCCCAGCCCATCGTCTGCAGGGCCGGACAATCCCCCGACCCTCCTTCCTCACTCTGCTTCAGCCCCCAGGACCCCTTGGTCCCAGGCCCTTGCTGTCACTGTCCCCTCTGCTGGGGCGGTGCCCCCTGGACCCGCGCACGGCCGTGTCCCCTCCTCATGTTCACTTCGTGTTTCCTCAGTGAGCCTTCCCCGACCGCTGGGGCCGCAGCCGCCCCGACCCCCTGCCCAGCCCCTCCCTTCATGCCATCATTTTATTTTCTCATCAGTTGCTAAAATTATTTTTGTTGTGGGCATATTGGTCTCCCCAGTAGAATGTAAGCCCGTGAAGGTGAGAATAGTGTGTGTCTGTTCTCTGCCGTGTCCCCAGGAGCTGTAACAGTTCCTGGCATAGAGTAAGTGCTCAACAAATATCTGCTAAATGAATGAATGATCACCACAAAGGAAAACAATCTTGGAGCCCTTTGAAAGTGTCTGATCACCTGCCCTGCTCTGTTGGGTCTCCTTTCCACATGGACAGAACAACCTGAAGGTTCCCCGGCACGCCGCGCTGTCCCCGGCCTCTGAGCCTTTGCCCACAGTCTTCCCTTGGCCTACCCTGCCCTCCCACATACAAACCCTGGTTTATTTATTCTTCAAAGTCTTCCCTTAGAAGGCTTGTCCTCCAAGAAGATTTTCCCTCTCTCCCCCACCCCCTCGTGGTCAGAGTCCTCCTCGCCGGCCCCCCTGAGGCACCCCGTGCCGTGGAGTAACTGGGTACCCCATCTGCAGGACCGCGTGCCCTGTGCGGGCAGACCTGGTCTGCTTAGCTGCTGTGTCGCTGGCGCCACCGCAGGGCCCGGTGGGGCTCAGTGAACATGTGGTGGATGAGGGAATGGATAAGATCAGAAGCCAATGGACCAGACGATCGCAAGACAGGCTCTCTCCCCGGCTGTTGGGGATCCAGACCTGCGACAGGCTGGCGAGAATGTGGCCCCGGGCAGATCTGGAGGCGCTGCTGTGGGGTGCGCTGGAGAGAGCGCTGGGTGTTAGACTCACAGACATTCTTCTGCTTGCCATCGCCCTGACCACTCCAGGAGTGAGGAGGGCTCCAGATTAGAGGTCAGAACACTGGCAGCTCCCCTGCTCCTCTGTGACATCAGAGGGGCTGGGTTTCCCTCTCCCTGACACCGTCTGGCATATGGGCCCCCGAATGAGTCGTGGAGGAAAAGCTGCTGTACGACTCCAGCCCTGCAGGAAAGGACCCAGGGGTCTTGGTGGGCCACGAGGGGAATACAGCATGCCTGCCATATAACACAGTTGGCGTGGGGGAAGAAAACAGATAAATGTAATCTGCATGTCGCCTCGAGGTCCCTCCTTGTTACCAGAAAGGAATCCCGACTTTGGTCCCTTGCCTTCTTAGAAGGCTGGGCTGGATCCATCCTTTGCCACTGCCTTTTAAAGAGGGCTGTGATGCAGACACTGGAGAATAATCAAGCTGAACTGCGTGACAAAAAACTGTGGGAAAGCAGTCTGGACACGGAAATTCTCCATGGTCACTGTCCTGTCGCACCGCTGCTGCTGACAACGTATCCGACGTTCAGCTTTCAGGGCCATTTTATCTGTTCATTTGTTCCTATTCCTCATCCTCCCTGAATCCAAATATTTATTAGACAGAGAAGACTGTCTTCTTCTCCCCTTCCACAGTGGCTCAAATGAGAGAAAATGGGTTCAAAACGCAGCGCGAGAGAGAGCAGGCAGCCCGAAGGCGAGCCGCTGTGCAGGACGGCCGGGCGCTCCCTCATCCTGACCCCTGAGCAGCAATATGAAGCGAAGGCCTTGGAGGATGACGTTAGATTTGGGGTTTGAAAGTGCTGACACTTGGGGATGCTCGGAAAACACCTTTCCTTCCCCTTTTAGAAGAATGAGTTCTCCCGCAGGGACAGGCGCTAGCTGCGTCGCCTGCAGCTGGCCCTGGAGCTGGGCACGGGGTGCGCCGCGGTGCCGGGTCCAGGCGCACCGCTCTGACCGCCGGCTCCTCTGCGGGCTCTGCCTGCACGCACTGGGCACTGGTGCCACTGGCGGTGGGTGAGAGAGGGCTCCGGAACTCTCTGTGACTGCACTCTGACTCCCAAGGGCAGCGACCCAGTGGAGAGCACCACCCCCTCCAAGGGGCCCTTTGGAGCCTGGAGGTGGAGCGTGGAAATTCGAAAAGCTTATGAGGGGAAAATCTCGCCCTTCTAGTGTCTGGAGGCAGAAAGTGAAACTGGCCAGCTGGGCCCACTGGAGCCGTGGCTGCCCACCGTGGTTCCGCCCTGGGGGTGGGCACTAGCTCCTCGGAGCTCAGGAACCATTTGATTTGGAGGTTTACCATGAGGGGCCCTGGGTGTGGAATCAGCAGCTTTTCAACAGGGTTTGATTCAACAATGACATCGTCAGTTCTGGGGATCCCTTCTGGGAGAGCTGGGGGCTGGGAAGTCTGCTCCTTGTCCACCCAGGGGCCTAAGGGAACAGCTCACATGTTCATTGATCTCTTCTGCATCTACGTCTGTGCTTCATGCTTCCGTGCAAGCTCTCATTTCTTCTTCACAGCATCCCTGATCAGCAGGCTCTATTATTAGCCCCATTTTACAGATGAGGAAACAAAGGCACAGAGAGATAAAGTAATTTGCCAGAAGTCACACAGCTAGCAAGTGGGGCATTTGGGATTTGAATGCACTTGAAAAGCTTGCAGGGACCGGAAGGGCTTGTAACCTCAGCTGGCGGTTGCTCCAGGACGGGGAGGCAGCGTCTCTGAACAGTCCTGCAGGATTTGCGGGAGTCTCCATCATGCAAGAAGGCAGAATGGGGGACTAAGGTGAGGACACTGTTCTCATCTCAGCCCCGCCACTGCTCATCTGTGCGACTCGAGCAAGTTCGTTGCCCTCTGTGGCTCCTTTTCTTCAAGCGAGTTGTTTCTGTATGCTGACAGAGGCCTCTCTCTCCCACTCCCCATCAGCTCCCGCCCTACATGCAAGAGGGCCAGTTCCACACACAGCTGCACCCTGCACCGGTGGGAGGTGATGGTAGCGTGCAAAACCTGTGGTGCGTGAGTCCCCAGCCAGCCCTCCAACCCTTCGGCCCTCCCGAAGTCCCTCTGGGACCCTGGGCCTCCATTTCCTCCCCTCTCCCTAAGACCTTCTTCCTGCCAAGCCCTTTCTAAGGCGTGGTGTTTTGTCAGGGAGAAAGCCCACAGTTTCTCCCACGTTGGTTCTGGCTCGGATGATTTGGGCAAACACTATGTTACCACAATGATGGATGCGGTCTGCCATGTTTTATGATCACTGTTGTCTACAAGGGACGCGCCAGGTGTAAAGGGCCTGGTGTGGCACGCCAGAAGACGGCTCTGGGGGCTGAGTCCCAGGGCAGAGGGAGCCAGAGGTGCCGGGAGAGGAGCTCCTCAGAGGGCGACGTTGCGGTTTTGGGAGAAGACCATTTTCGCGTCGATCTCTCCTTCCACCATGTGGGGGTGGATGTCCACGTTCATCCCCGCGTCCTTGCACAGCTTGAGCAAGGTGCGGATGTTGTTCTTGGACAGTCTCAGGTACCTGCGCCAGAAAGACAGAGGTCAGCCCAGGGCGGGGTCACCGAGCGCTGAACTTTGTGGAAAAGAGCTTAGATCGCGGCAGTGGCAGTGTAGGATCTCTGACGAGGACCGGCTCTCCAGACATTTCTGGAGCTGACAGAGATCTTATAAGAGAGTGGGACACCCACACAGTCGGTGGGAGCGTTTTTCGGTTTTTGCAGGGGAGGATTCACCCTACCCTGACATCTGTCGTCAACCTCCCTCCTCCCCGCCCGCCCCCCGCCCCCAAAGCCCCAGTACATAGTTGCCTATGGTTGTAAGTTCTCTATTCCTCTATGTGGCCGCTGCCACAGCATGGCTGTTGACAGATGAGTGGTGTGGTTCTGCGCCCAGGAACCGAGCCTAGACGGCCGAAGTGGAGCACACTGAGCTTTAACCACTAGCCCATCAGGGCTGGCTCAAGTGGGAGTTCTTATTGATATAACTTCTTTGGAAATTAATTTGGCAACATATACATCAAACACCGCCCGAGCATCCCCAAAAAAGTTTATTATCTTTAGTTCAGTAACTCCACTCAGGCCCTCAACTTATTGCAAAAAGAGAAGTCAGTGGAAAGAAAAGCTGTATAAATGAAAGTGTTCATTTTGGGGTTATCAACAACAGGGAAATAAGAAATTCCATCAACAGAGGAACGATTAAACACATAATGGAATATCCCTTTCAGTGACTCTTCTGCTAGCATTAAACGTCACTAGGAAGGAGGTGCAATGTGGCCATGACGTTATGTTGAGTGGCAGAAAAAACCAGGCTGCAAACTGCCAGGTCTTTCTCTCCTTGCTGCGATGTGTGTGTAATCTGAGTGATGCTGAGGGCTGGGAGAAATACAGGACAGTGGAAATAAAAGCTGAGCAAAATTGTAAGAATAGAGATGAGTATTTTCTTTTAATAATATCCAAAAAATTAAAAAATTAGGTCATTGGTTTGAAATATTAGCTAAAGCCCCACAATTCTGCCTTACACTGAAGAAAGGAACAGATCCCGTCTCTACTGTGTGGCAGAGTGCACGCCTCTGCCGTCATATCCGATGGGCTCCTTATTCTACCATCAACCTTGACCTTGGTCCAGCTTTAGGATAAGGAGGTAGGTAGGCCCCTACGCAGGCCACCTGCTGGTTGGTTACTTTGCTACAGATAATGGCGGAGGGGCTGCATGTTGCTATAACCTGGGTTTCCTACCCATTGGGGATGGCTTCCCTTCTCCTTCAAGATCTGCCCAGAACTTACCTGTTTCTACAGTCAGCTCAGACCCTGCTCGCCAGCCCCACAACTGGACAGCTCCAGCTTTGCTCCCTGACCAGCCCAGCCCTAGAGGGTCTCACATATATGTATGTGTGGGCACTCACTAAGATCCCATTCCGGACAATTTCATCCTTTCCTTGGATGTTTTCCTAATGGCTTGTCGGATGCCATCTCTCCAAATAGCCTGTCTCCCTCCTTGGAGGGTCGGGGCCCTGTCGAAATCTCTCCTCTTTCCACTGTGGAGCTCAGCTAGGCTGTCTATTGGCCAGAGTCAACTAGAACCCTCCATCAAATCTGAAAGCTAGAGTGAAAGTCTTCCAGCCACGGAAGCAGCAAGAGCAAGGAGCTCCCCTCGCCCAGGGAGACTGCCCGTCCACCCGTCAGCCAGTCAGCCCACTCCACCCATCCTTCTCTCAGCCAGCCAGGGAGCAGAGCGGGACTCCGTGATGGGGCGATCGGACGCCAGGCGTCTGAGGCTCTCTTATATGCAGGTGAGCTCACTGCTGTCACCTCTACAAGGACAACGACATCATTCTCAGTCCCGTTCTCTTCTCTACGAAGTTTCTGAACCTTGTCAGTTACATCTTTACACTCAAGGATAACATCGGGCTAGGGAGGGGTGCTTGGGTTTTGGGGTGGAAACCAAGCTGTTTGGTGTTGCTGAAAACTAGCAGGTCCTGATAAATAAGACACAGAACAAGAAAGAAGGGAGGCCTTTGGTAAGAGCAGTAAATTCAAAACGGCATCACACTTTGCTCAGGGTCCCTTTGGGAGTCAAGCCCCAGACACACACGGGGAGTCCCTGGGGATGGGGCTTCTCTCACCAGCAATTCAGGACCATTGTGTAAGTGATCTGTTAAGGAAACTTCCTGTTAAAACAAGGCCAATTCCTTCCTGAATGATATTCATGGTTCCTATTGTGAAACAAAGTTTGAAATATTGGAAGGGTTGTGTAAGTGTCCACAGGTGTGGCATCGAAATAGCAGCAGCCGCATGTCGTGTCCATCCCAGAGACGGCCCACGAGCGGGCGAGGCTGCTTGGAAACCCCACAGCTGCAGCCCTGGAGCAGCCCTCCGGGCCTCAGAGGCAGAGGCCACCCGCTCTGCGGCCACCCTCCCCGGTCCCCAGGCCTGGTCCCCAGGCCCCCCCGTGTCTGAGCCGCAGACGGTAGCGAGCAAAGCTCCTTGTCTCGGGACACCCCGCCCGCCCCTCAGGACTGCTCACCGGCAGCTCAGCACCTCCTCTGGTTTCAGCATTTTCACCATCTCTATCTTGGGCTCGGTGCCCTTCTCCATGAGGCTCTTCAGCTTGCGCTCATAGGAGCTGTCGGGTGCCTTGACTACCCAGTCTCTCAGGAGGGTTGACCTCCGCTGGCCAAAGATAGTGTCCGGCAACGTGGGTTCTGTAATGCTTTGTCGACGGTACGGCATTGACCGCTGAGTGGACTCCAGGGCGATTGCATCCTTGATGTCTAGGTCTGAAATTGGACAGATGTCACCAGGGATTTAGATCCTGGTGGAGGTGAGGGGTGGGGTACCCAGGAAGGTGATGAGGTCTGGAAGACTGCATGGGCGTCAGACAATACTGTTCTGAGATATGGGGTCTTTTCAAGGCTTCCGTAGTTCTCCTTCTTAGCGTTTGTTGAATCCTTAATCATCTTTCCCTCCCTCCTTTCTTCCCAACTCCCTCCTCCTTCCTCCTTTCCTTTATTTCCTTTTCTCAATATTATCTTCTTTGCTTCTTCAGAGGGAGTTCACCTAAAGGGAACTTTAGCCTAGAGCGGGTAGAGGAGATCAACTTTGACCTGGGGTTTCTGTTTTGTTTTGTTTTTTTTTGCTGAGGAAGATTTGCCCTGAGCTAACATCTGTGCCAGTCTTCCTCTATTTTGTACGTGGGATGTTGCCACAGCGTGGCTGATAAGTGGCATAGGTCCACACCGAAGATCCAAACCGGTGAACCCAGGCTCCTGAAGCGAGTGCGTGGAACTTAACCACTAGGCCTCAGGGCTAGCCCTGAGCTAGGTTTTTCAAGGACAAATAGTTTTTCAGATGAAAAAGGGAGAAAAGTATTGCAGGCAGAAAGAACAGCATGGATAGGCATTTATAACTGGTATGGTCAGTACAGAGAAAAGATTACCATTTTAAAAAATACGTTTTTCTAGCACACCAACAACCATACCAAATTTTATTAATCTTTGACTAGAATTTCTTGAGTTTTGCAGATATGCAATCATATCAGGGGAAAAATGAAAATATCTTCCTTCTAATATTTATGAAAATTATATGCTCTTCTTGACATAATGCATTTGACAGACTCTCCAAAACGATGTCAATAATGATAACGCAGGGCCGGCCGGTGCCGAGTGGGTAAGTTCACACGCTCCACTTTGGCAGCTGGGGGTTCGCAGGTTCGGATCCTGGGCGCAGACCTAGCACTGCTTGTCAAACCATGCTGAGGCGGCGGCCCACACAAAATAGAGGAAGGTGGGCACAGACGTTAGCTTGGGGACAATCTTCATCACACACACACAAAATAATATGACAATGATGCAGTCATGCTTCATTTTGTTTCTGATTTTAATTAAAATGATTCTAGCATTTCATCATGTAGAATGATGCTTATCACTATTTTGGGTAAATGTTTTACAATATTCAGCAGCTTCACCCCTAGTTTACATGGAGGTTTTATTAGTAACAATGGCTTGGTTCTATTTATTGCTTTCCCATCATCTACTGATATGATCATATGGTTCTTCCTTTATTTTATTGATGTAATAAATTATCCTGATATTGATAACCAAACCATTCCTAACCTACTGCAATAAATCCCACTTGGTCATGGTGTATTATTCATTTCATACATTAACATATTTGATATATTTTTACACATTAAGTCTATTTGCTAAAATTTTTAATATTTTTGCATCCATATTATTGTAAGATTGGCCTACGTTTTTGTATAATATATTAACATCAAGGTTATGATAGCTTGTTAAATTAGTGTAGAAGTGTCTAGATTTTAAATGGTCTGCAGTAGTTGAGTAACATTGGGATTATTTGCTCTTTAAAGGTTAGATAGAACCTGGTGTGAAACCTTTCGTCCTGGTGCCTTTTTTAGTGCTCCTTATTGTATCAATTTTGATAATTTGTAGTATGATAGGAAATTTTCCATTTCTGCTGGGTTTTCAAATTTATTGTATAGAGATGCATGTAGTATTGTATTATAATTCAGTTGATGTATTTCTTCTCTTTGCTTGCTTGTCCTTTCTCATACAAAATCTTATATGTTTTTACTCTCCTTTTTAACAAGGCTCACGATGACTTCACATTGTCTGTCGCTTCCTCCGGCCTCAGTGGGCCCTGTCTGACATGGAGTTTCCCCTTGGGAGCTGGAATAGATGGGGATCCCTGAATCGCAGCCTCTAGAACTGGGGCTGGCCGGGTGGAGGCCCCTCTCGGGCCTTGCAGTGTGCGCAGATGGAGCGCAGCACGTGTGGGCGCGGCCTGCTTTTTCAAAAGGCTGGCTTCGAATGTATCCTTTTAACTATTTTTTATCTTGTATTTCTTTAATCTCAGCTGGTATTTAGTGTATTAATTCTTGCTTCATCATATTAATTACTTCTATTCTTATAAGTTAATAAAAGTCTTCTTTTTTAATTTTTTGTTTTATAAAGACAGGAACCATTACTTTTAGTTCTTACTGTAAATTTTCTTCTGAGCATAGATTTTGCCTTCATCCCATAGGTTTGGTATGAAACAGGCTTGTTTTCATTAGTTTTTTCTTTGCTATAAGGGTATTTTAGGAGCATGTTTCTTAATGTTCGACTGTTAAGTTGGGGGTAGCTTTTAATTTTATTTCTAATTATTACTTTAGGATAATGTAGATGATCCTAAAATATTTATTTTTTTGAGTGTTTCTGTTTTCTTTGTGGGGCTACATTGATTATTTTTGTAAATGTTCTTTGGTGATATAAAAATGTCTGTTCTCTATTCAGTTATAATGTTATTGTTTGTTAATTGCATTGATAGGTTCGTCTATGTACTTCCTATTATTTTCTATTTAATCTATCTATTTGGTTCTGAAAGAAGTGTATTAAAATATCCCATTGTAACTATATTTTAATCAGGTTCTGCTTGCTTTTCTAAACATTTATCTGTTTAGCTGCTATATTTTTTGGTGCGTGTAGGTTTATGGTTATTATTTATTCTCTTTACTGTTTTAAAATATCCCTCTTTTACCCTCTCTGTTGCTTACAGCCTTAATTCCACCTCATCTGCTGGCATTTCTTATCTCTTTGCCTATCCTTTTATTTTCAATCTTTCTATATTACCTTGTATTAAGTGTGTATCTAGATTTTGATTATAAACCAATCGTTTCCATATTTGGTGCCTCTGCTCTCTTCTAGACCATTTTCTGCAGATGAAGGGACACATGGCTGAGAAAGTCCTTCAGTATTTCTAAATCTGCAAGTATCGTTTATTCCTTATGACAGTGACTTACGTGTGGGCTCGGGACAGGATTATGCAATTGTAGGTCTTCACTCTTGGCAGTCGGTAGGTGCCATTTCACTTCCAGGTTGATTCTAGTGTCTTTTTCCTTTGTAAGTAAATTGTGCTTCCTGTAAGCTTGCAAGCTTTCATCAATAAAGTTTGGGAATTTTACCAGAATAAGTCAGGGAGAATGAGTCTAGAGCTCCTACAGTTACATAAATGGAGGGACAGCAGCCTGGAGAGAGGCTGTGACTTGCCCAGGTCTCATGAGTTAGCGGCTTAATTGGGATTTTTTTTTTTTTTTTTTTGGTGAGGAAGATTGACCCTGAGCTAATATCTGTTGCCAATCATCCTCTGTTTTGTATGTGGTATACTGCCACAGCATGGTTTGAGGGGTGGTATGTAGGTCTGTGCCTGGGATCCGAACCCCCAAACTCTGGGCCACCAAAGTGGAGAGTGCGAACTTAACCGCTACACCACTGGACTGGCCCCTTAATTGGGAGTCTTTATGTCCAGTATGTTGTTCTGAACTGACAGCTGGCCCCTAATAGGGTGATAGGGTCAGATGGCTTTAGCAGTCCCTGTTTGTGCATGGTGGAAATTGATGCTATGTTTCAGAAAAATCACGAGCTGCACATCTTGACACAAATGGGAAATCCCTTGGGGAGAGGGCCGTAGGCTCTCCTGAGGCATCTGATCCTCTTCGGGGTCAAGGCAGGGCTCACATAGGAAAGAATAGCAGTGTAAATGGTGATGATAACTATACATGTCAGCTAACATCTGTTGAGTGAGTTGTGTGCCAGGCAGTGTGCAAGGGGCTTTCTAGGGAGGGGGCACTACAGTCTCGCAACCGTGTCATGTCCATTTAAAAAGTGAAAAAGTTGAGGATCAGAAAGATTTAGTCATGTGCCCAAGATCTCATAGCTAATTAGTAGTGGGTCCAGGAAGATGTGAACCCAGGTTGTCAGTGCCTTTGTCTGGGAGCCTGTCCTGGCTACCATCTTGGACAAAAAAGCCCCCCATTCCTGAGTTTGTGGCTGAACAGAGAGGTTAGATTTCTGGTGGGCTGTGTTTGGGACTCCAGGACTGACTCTGTACTCATGGAGACGGAGGGGGTGATTGCCCTCCAGCCCTCAGTGTTAGGAATGCACCCTTGCCCTGGCATCAACAGAATGCCCTAGGCGTAGGTGGCCAGGGAGAGAAAGCCGAAGGAACTCCCATTTCCGTCTAGCTGCACAGACTTTGTCAAGATTTGCTTTGGAAATACATTCCAAATGCTTTCCCAGGATCTTTTACTGGCCATAGTCAGAGTGACCTTTTTGAAATTAAAATCCAACTTGGTAGCTTCCTTCTTAAAATTTTTCAGTGACTTGCCATCACATTCGATCAGGTTTAGGTTTTGGAAAGGCCGATCTGAGACTTCTGCTTTCAGCCCAGATGGCATAATAGGGGCTGCATTTATCCTTTCACCTTGAGCAGTCAAAGAGTGGGGCCTGAAAACAGCAGTTTTCAGACATTGGATAACAGGCAACAAGGGCAGTGAGCCTTGAGAGGCGGACAAGTGAGGTGAGCCCATGATGGCCCCGCCAATGGCTGGAAAAGGCTTCCAGGCAGTGGCATGGGTGAGGGAAGGGTGGGCAGAGCCTGGTGGTGGCCCTGAGCTGGGAAGGAGAGCAGACCATTTAGATGGGCCAGGGCAGCTGGAAGTCACAGGGCAGAGAGCCAGGAGAGAGTGGCATGGAGCTCTCAGGAACTCTCCAAAGGCTCCTCTCTGCTGAGGACTAATTAGCACATGCAAGAGAGGGAACGACACAGCACTGGTAGCCACGACCACTCAAAGAGCATTGTGAATATACTCTGTGTGCTCAACAAGGCTTGAGCCTGTTAAGGAGAGTCACAGAAGACTAAAAGTCACCCAAACTGAAGTTCTAGAGATGAAACTACGCTGCCTGAAGTGAGAAACACATTGGATGGGATCAACAGCTGACTAGGCATTGCAGAAAAGACTAGTGAATTTGAAGACAGAGCAACAGCAACTATCTAAAATGAAACACAAAGAGAAAAATTGGGGGAAAAAACCCCCAGTGAGCTGTGGGACTTCAAATATGTGTAATTGCAGTGCCCGAAAGAGAAGGGAGAGAGTGGAGACTGAAAAAAAATATTTGAAGAAATAATGGCTAAAAATATTCCAAATTTGATGGAAACTATAAGGCAAGAATCTCAACTAACGCTAAACACAAGAAACATGAAGCAATTGACACTGGGGCGGATCATAATCAAACTGCTTAACAAGAAAGGCTTCAGGGCCGCCCTGCAGCCTTGTGGCTAAGTTTGGCGCACTCTGTTTTGGCTGCCTGGGTTTGCAGATTTGGTTCCTGGGTGTGAACCTGCACCACATGACAACCATGCTGAGGTGGTGACCCACATACAAAAAAGCAGATGTTAGCTCAGGGCAAATCTTCCTCAGTGAAAAAAACGCAAAAAACAAACAAAAGAACCCCCAAGAAAAACAAACACCTTCAGAGAAGGAAAAAGATACATCACAGAGGAACATTAATCAGGACAGCCAAGTTCTCACTGGAAACACTGCAAGCTGGAAGACAGAAGAGTGTTTCTGTAAGGTACTGAGAGAAAAAAGCTTGTCAATCTAGAATTCTATACTCAGCTAAATTATCTTTCAGAAACAAAGGTGAAATAATGGCCTTTTCAGACATACAAAAGGTGAAAGAATTTATCACCAACAAACCCACACCATAGGAAATATTAAAGGAAAATCTTCAGGCAGAAGAAATGAATCCAGACAGAAATCTGGGCCTGTGTAAAAAAATGAAGAGCCCTGAAAGTGTTAACTGTGTGAGTAAACATAAAAATCTCTTTAAAAGAGAGTTGCTTAAAGTAAAATTAATAACAACATATTGTGGGGTTTATAACGTAAGAATAAATATGATGTGAGGTGGTAGCAGCATGAAAGTTGGGACAGGAGAAGTAGAAGCATGCTCTCGTTGGTCCTCACGTTCTACATGAAGCGAGAAGGAAGGAAGGTGGGACAAGGCCAGGATGGATCCTGCACACTCTGGGCAACCACAGAGATGGCGCAAAGGGGTTATAGCTCGTAATCCAGCAAAGGAGATGAGCCTGAATCACAAAAACACTCAGCCCAAAGGAGGACAGAAAAAGAGGAAAGGGGAGCAAAGAACAGGGAAACAAGTTAGAAACTAACAGGTTTAAACTCAACCACCTCAGTGATCATATTCTGTGTCAATGGTCTAACCATCCAAAGGAGAAGGTTGAAATTGCCAGAGTGGATTTAAAAATCAAGACTCAATCATCTGCTGCCTAAAAATTCAGTTTAAATAAAAAGACACAAACAAGTTAGACAGGCCAACGTGATAGCCAAGAGGAGGAGAGCTGTGGGGCCTTTGATAGTGGAGGAAGATTGGGAATAAACTAAAATAATAGGAGTGGAAATGGAGAGGAAGGGAAAGAGATGAAAGACACAAAGATGGTGCTGTCTCCAGGACCCAGTAACTGGTCATGAATGGTAACTGGTGATGAGGCGTAACTGGTCACAAAGGGTAGCTGGTTATGAGGGGTAACTGGTCATGAAGGGTAGCTGGTCATGGGGGCAACTGGTCATTAGGGGCAACTGGTTGTGAGGGGTAACAGCTCATGAGGAGTAACTGGTCATGGGGGAAACTGGTCATTAGGGGCAACTGGTCATGAGGGGTAACAGCTCATGAGGAGTAACTGGTCATGATGAGTAACTGGTTATGAGGGGCAACTGGTCGTGAGGGGCAACTTGTTGTAAGGAGTAACTGGTCACGAGGGGCAACTGGTCATGAGAGGTAACTGGTCATGAAGAGTAACTGGTTGTGAGGGGTAACTGGTCATGAAGGGCAACAGGTCATGAGGGGTGGTGGCAGAGGCGACTTCCAACTGGGGCCACGCTCTGGGCCAACGCTAGGCCCTGAGATGGTGCATACGAGGGGGCGTGTGGATCTGTGGAGCCCGTAGACACTAACATTGGGAGCTGGGCATGTAGAGGGAGCCTAGGAGAGAGGGCTCTCTGGAGATTTAGATTTGAAATCATCAGACGGTGGGTAAAGCCATATGTTTGAATAGAGTCAGCCAGGAAAAGTGTATAATGGGATGACAATGGCAGTGCTAATCAGAGGGGAATTCCGAGGGGAAACTTTGGTATGGGAGGAGGGAAAAAAGGAAGGGTGGTTAGTAGCGACTTAGAAACATATGAGGTTAATAAATTAAATGGGAAAATATACAGAGAAGCCTATGGAAAATAGACAAAGCAGGGAAAGAAGCCCACCAAACTGGAAAATTCTGCATCCTTCGTTCATAGAAGTGAGGAGACGCAAGACCACAGCTGTAGCTTAACCATCTGGTTTCTCTCACTGCCTTGGGTCTGGTTGGGCCCACCTAAACGTTGTGCTGGGGGGAGGACAAGGACTCCACACTCTTCCTTGTGGGTTGAGCCCTCAGAGGGGACTGAGGGGGCAGTGACAAAGGAAGGGGGGCACAGATGAGATGCCCTCGGGGGATTCACGGGGGAGAGGCCGTAAAGGAGAGAAAGGAGCCGCTCACCGTGTCAGTGTGGCAGCAGGCTGCTGCCCCCGGATGCAGCAATAAGATAGTCAGTGGAGGGCCAGGGATGGCATCTCAGTGATTTAAGGGGAGTGAAGGGAAATTTTTGTGAAAATGAAGTGAGATGCTGAAAGTGAGCCTGTCTGCTTTGAAAAGCGAACACTGGAGTGGAGTGGTCACTGTTCTTTCTTTTAGCTTTGAGGTTCTGGAGCCCGAGACAGTACAGTTCATTCATTCAGGACACTCACAGTGTTTTGCCGATTTTGATTTTGTGGCCATCACAACACTGAAAACATGGAAGAGCGGGAGTTGTGACTGCGTAGACAGTGTCACATTCCAGTCCTAGAGGTGGTGGGGGATGTCGCCCCCAGGTCACACAGAATTGTGGTGTTGAGAGTGGAAGGGGCTCACTCTGCAGACAGGGAATGCAGGACGCCCACGGGGTCTGGTTCTTGACAAGGATGCCAGTGATTCGGGTGCTGAGTGGGGCTGGGGGAGGCTAGACCCTGATATCTCGGTCTAGCATACTCTTCCTCGAGCTGCCTTATCTCCTCTTGGACTCCTGCTGTAGCCTTAACTGGCTCCATGCCCTTCCTGGGGGCTGTGTTATCTTAAACTTGACTCCCAAACCAGATCCTCCCCACGCCTTTTGGGCCTCCTGTCAGCCTGCACAGGAAGCTCCCCCTACTGCGTCCAGGCTCAGCCCTGCCCCGGTCCTGGGTGCCACACCTGGCCGCCCAGCGGCTTCCTGGAGTCCGAGCTCCAGATGCACTTGGGCTGCGCTGAGCACCTGCTGCCCCCCAGTGGCCACTGGCTGTGTTAGATCAGGAAAGAGAACTGCTGTCCAACAGGGTGGCTTTGATTGGGGGAGCTCAGGGGACTGCAGAGGACCAAGTGGCTGCTGAGTCAGCCTGCCCGCTGGCATCCTTGTGCGCGAGGTGAAAAGAATTATTTAGTCAACTGGTATGAGAGTTTCTCTTAGGGAAGGAACTGCCTTTGTTTGGGAAAATACCTGGCTAGGCTACTTTGAGTGGAAAGAGACAGTGAAACAAAGCGATCCCTCCAGGTGAAAAGCCAGCGGGAATGGGGGGGGGTGGGGAAGGCAGAGGCCGGAGGAGAGGAGAGGAGAGGAAGAGGGGGAGTGGGAGGACCAGGACTAGAGTGAGACAAGGAGGTGCCCGGGGACAGATTTAAGGAGGTGCTGGCCCTCAGGCTCACCCAAGTACAGTGTCGACACCTGAGCCTGAGTGCCTCCTTAAATCCTGTGCCCTGGGTGCCTGGCTGGGCTCACTCTGGCCTGGGTCCTGGATTTGAGCAAGACATCTGGAGGCTGCCCCTGCAGGGAAATGTGGGGGTCTCCTGGCGGCAGGGGACAAGGACTTTGAAGAACAAGACGGGCTCATAATCGATTTCTGATTTGTTTGCTGTATGACTCTGGATGTGATTCTTTCTCTTTGCTGCCCCCACCCTTCAGTAGAGTCTGCGTACACAGGCTTCGTGTGAGAGGTGTGGGGAGAAGCGAAGGAAGCATGCTCTGTGTCTGGTTGGCAGGGGCGGGGAGAAAGGAACAGTGTAGAAAGCGATGTGAGACCTACAGATGCTCAGGGTCCCAGCAGACCAGGACTTTGGAGCCAGATGTGACTCTAGAGTCACAGGAAACTGGAGAGAGTTGTGGGGCTTCCCGCAGGGCATAAGTCCATCTAGCTTTGCTTTTTTAAATAACCGTTTGTTTTGGAGTTTAGATTTACAGAAGAGTTGCAAGGATGGTGCAGGGAGCTCCCGTGTACCCTTCCGTCAGTTTCCCCTGACGTTAACATCTTACGTAAACAGGGTACATTTGTCAAAACTGAGAAATTAACACTGGCACATTATGGAGCCTTTTTGGATTTCACCAGTTTTTCCACTAAAGTGTTATTCTATGATCAGTCCAGGACCCTGAACTGCGTGTAGAGCTGGTCATGTTTAAATCTGACAGGTGTGACGGCAGTGCGCTTACACTGGCTTTGGTGTCTTACATGAAAAGGAGAAAAGATTTTCTTGGGCACAATGGGGACATTTTTGTACAGGAGAACTGCAGCCCCTGCTTGAAGGCTCTTGCCCACACTTCCTTTGGGTTAATGGAATCGCTTCCAGAATTCTCTTTGACCATACCCCTCCACCCCAGAGGCCGGGCACAAGAAGCGTACCTGTTTCTCCAACGGCGCGGTCCGGCCCTCCTGAGAAGTTCAGTACGTGTTTACTCAGAGTCACCACTCGCTGACAGTGTTGAGCACACTCTGTGTCAGGCCGAGTGCTTTCCACGCCTCATCTCACTAACGCGCCGCAACTGTACTATGAGGTAGGTCATCTTATTGTCCCATTTTATAGATATGAAAACTGGACCCCAGAGATGGCGTGACTTGCCCAGGAATTATACAACTCTGAGCTCAATACAGAGTGTGGAGCCAGGACTCGAACCCAGGCCGTCTTGGGAGGTTGGGATCTGGCAGAACCTGAGCCGACCTCTTCTTGGGGAGGAGCAACACCTGGCAGGTTTAAGGCCAGCAGGTGTGGTTCCTTCTGTAACTGACAATGTCACAGTACCTAAATCAATTAGATAATTGGGACGCAGAAGGTTGATGTCACCAAAATGGCTTCAGGAACCTGGGTACACTATGCTGGCTTCTGAGAAGAGCACACGCATGTGTGGGCCAAGCCTTGACATCCCCTTGCCTCGTGTCCAGGCGACATCCAGCTCGCAGTGTGATCCCTAAAGAGCCATGGAGGGCTCCTGCGTCCACAGTGGCTGGGTTGATGTGGATGCTACTGCCCTAAGAATGGTGTGAGCTCTTGGTCCCTCTGAGAGGTGGGGGATGAGGGGGGACAGTTCCCGGTCCTGGGGCCAGGATGCTTTCCTCACCAGATTTCCTGGCGCTGTCCCTGGTGTAGTTGCCCGGGACTGTGCTGAGGCGTTTTCCCTTTGGCTCCGCTCCGTAGGGCCTTCGGTACCTGGCGGAGTTCTCCTTCTTGGTGCTTTGCCCTGTGGCCTTGGAGGGGAGCGGAGAGAAGGATGTACAGGAGCGCGCGCCTTCCCCCGCGGCGGGGGCTTGTCGGGCGGGAGCCGGATGGGGCAGGTGATTACTGTGAGCGTTAGTCTGGGGCAGGAGCGGAGCCTAGAGCCTTAACACATTTTTAAAAAGTGGCCAGTGTGCAGGAGCGGGGTGGGCACCCCTCGGCAGCGTGGGGAGCTGGGTGCGGGTGGGGCGGGCGGGACGCCGAGCGGCTGTGTCACCTGGTCAGAGAACGACACCTGGCGGTTCCCTCCCTGGGGCTTCGGGACGCTTTTGCCTTTCTTTTCTTCCTTCCCCCTTGCTTTAAAAGGTGTCGCCATCTTGGGCTTGTGCTTCTGAAAGGACAGGGAAGAGGGCGCTGTGGCTGCCCCGCGGGGTGCAGACCACCATCCGCCTCCAGAGCGGCGATGGGACGCTCCCCTGAGTGGGCTGCCCCTCCCTCCACCCCACTCTGGTGCTCCTGTCCTCCCCTCACTGTCCCTCTGCCTCCAGGCATCCCTGGTGGCCATGTCATACCGCACCCAGAACCATGTTCTAACCCCCAAGGCTGGTTGTCCCTCTCCACCTCAGAATCCATCACTAGCTCCCTGTCACCCCCCTGCAGGGCCTACCCCCAGCCTGGCAGGAACTCCTCCCAGCCCCTGCGTGGCAGTTCTAGCTGTGACTTCCCTGCCATGGCCTCCAGTCTGGAGCCACAGGAAGGCTGCCCTGTCTTTGAGTCCAGCCAGGACTCTCCCTCTGTCCCCAGAATGCCCTCCTTGCCGCACCCCCACCCCATCCTGTCTTCCCAGAGCTGTCATCACAGCTCACCTGCCTTTCTCCGCCCCGTGCTCCTCGCGGCCTGTCTAGGGCTGGCGTGCGTGCCTTGCATGGACTTCCCTATGCCCTCCTGGCCTCACCTGCCCGGGGAAGGCAGGCAGGAGCACGGGCTCACTAGGGAGCTCCAGGGTCTGGGGACAGGGACCCCCGGGCCAGTATCTGAAGCATCTTGGGGAAAAGCCGAATGGACTGGGTCTCCCCTCCGCTGTGCCGTGGGTGGTTGTGGGGAGATGAGGGCCGAGCCTGGTCTCCAGGTCAGGCGGCCGGGCTTGGGATCCCGTCTGTTGTTTAGTGGCCGAGCAACCTTGGGCACGTGACAGCTCTCTCTGTGGCTTGTTTTCTTATCTGAAGATGGGGACAAGAGTGGGACCTACCTCACAGGGTTACTGTGAGGAATAAATGAGTCACCGTGTGGAAGTGCAAGCCTTCCACGAATGTTGGCTATATCCTGTGGGGCAGAAGAAGTGTTTCGAGGAGCCAGTCGGGTGTGTGGGAGAAGCTGCCCAAGGCGTGCTTGTGGCCGTCTAAGGAGGGGGCGCTGGTCGACCTCAGGGTCTTGTTTGGCTTAGTGAGGAGATGGGGTGCAAGTTGGGGGCAGGGCTGAACCTTCAGGCTGAGGAGAGAGGCTAAGGCCAGCTTCTCCAGGGGTGCCTCCTCCTGCCTTCCCCCTACAGCCTCAGCCTCTCCTCAGGAGTCACCTGAGTCCGAGACCTGCCGGGGGCGTCCCCCTCTGTCTCAGGAGCTTCCTTTAACACCCAAATGATTCTTGGAGAGATCACAGTGCTTGAAGACTTAACTGCATTTTCAATTTAAATTTGTTCCCTCCCTGGGTCCAAAATTATTTACAATAAAAGTCACATATAAGGTAAAGCTGTGAGCACATTATTGGAATATAACCCTTGCGAGGAGCCACGGGACCACACGTGTTCATTGCAGATGTGGATATAATTTCTGTAATTGACACTGAGCTCTGAGCGACCCAGCAGTCAAGCCCTTACCCCTTCCAAAAAGTGGGGGGTGGGGGTGCTATCTGTCAATCTTAGCACCTCAGTGTAAGATGTGTCTCAGCACTCTGATGGAATGCACACTCCAGATCCGACCGTAAATGATAAGGAAGCACATAACAGCACGGAGCTTTCCTGAAAGGCAGCGAGTGATGACCTGGGCGAGGCAGAGACCGCAGAGGTGGCTGTGGGAGTCAGCCCCACACGGCCGTGAGCTGGGGGACTGGATAGATCGGAGTTTGAGCCCTGGCTTGGGCTTTAATTAACTCCATGAGCTCAAGCAAATTACTTCTCTTCCCCTCAGCTTCCTGGTCCTCAAGCGGGGGCTCAGAAGGGCGCCTGCCTTGCAGCCTCAGGGGAGCGGTCGACGCGGGACCTCACTGCAGGGCTGAGCACAGGGCCCAGCACGCAGGAAATGCTTAAGAGAGGTTAGCGTCATCATTCGTAAGGCCATTTTTCACCCATTTTCCTCTGGGGGCCGGGGGATTCAAGGTCAGGTGGCATCTCCTATGGAGGAGACCACTTTCCAAGGGCACGGCTTGATTCTCTGTAAGGGGGACTCTGGGGGAAACAGAGGCAAAATTGGTTGCCATACTTCCTGGAGAAAGAGGGAAGCATGGTGCTATAGACTGAATGTCTGTGTCCCCCAAAATTCATATGTTGAAATCCTAACTCCCAATGAGACAGTGTTAGGACGTACGGCCTTTGAGAGGTGACTAGGTCATGAGCTGGAGCCCCACGAATGGGACTAATGCCCTTACAGAAGAGGCTCCAGAGAGCTCCCTGGCGCCTTCCATCACGGATGGGACAACGATAAGGAGCTGGCTGTGAAGCAGGAAGAGACCGTGCCAGCTGGCACCTTGATCTCGGACTCCCAAGCCTGTAGAACTATGAGAAATAGATTTGTGTTGTTTATAAGTCACCCAGTCTGTGCCGTTCTGGTTTGACAGCCTAAATGGACTAAGACCAATGGGTTAGAGCTAGTTCTGATGCAGCGGAGAAAGGAGGAGCTCCGTAGGAGCCCCAGTGGAGATAATGGCAGTGATGACTGAGTGCCCTGTGACTCTGGAGCCTTAAGGAGGACAGGAGTATCTGGGGACAGTGGGAAGGACCCATCCTGCCAAGCCTAGACGCTACTGCCCCTCAGTCCTTCTCGAACACCGACCAAGACGACCTCAACATTTCCCTCACCTTGACTGAACTAGACAGGTTTCATCCTGACTCTAGGTCTGTCATCTTCCTTTTCTTTTCCCTTAGAAAACTTGCACTGTGAATTCGTTCTCTGCCCCTTAGAGATGTAAATGTTTTCTTAGCCTCTTGCCAGTTTTAAAATCCAGGAAAGTTTTCCTCAAGGACCTGGGAGCCATCCCTTTAAAATGTAACCATCGCGAAGGATAGGGCCCTCTCCCAGCCTCCTGGGGCAGGAGCGTAACCACATAAGCGACAGTTAGTCAACAGGACGGCCTCGCCACACCGGCGGCCTCCCCTCACACCTCCGGTGCTTTTCTACTAGTTCACCCGGTGCTTGGAGACCCTCCTGCCTTTTGTTTCCCGGGACTCGGGGTCCCTCCCTCCCTGCGGCAGCCTGGGATGGAGTCTTCCTCCCAGCATCCTTGGCAGTCACACCTGGAGACCTTGATGCTTCTTCCCCTGCCTCCGCGCCAGCCACTCCAGCACCCGCGTGAGGTCGGACATCCGCCTCTCCTCAGCGGTCCTCCACATGGACTTCCTCTCTGAGGGCATCGGGTCCCTCGGGTCCTCGGGTTTCTCTGACATTTTGGCGTCTTGCTTGTGCCTTGGGCAGGAGGTGGCCTACACTCACTTGGTGGACTGTCTGCCTCTGCTTGCTGGCCGGGTGACCCAGACGGGAGGGTGTGGCCTCTAGGGTGAACTTCAAGGGCGGAGTTGGGCCAGCGGCTGGGATATTGGTCTTAAAGGCTGGGAGGTCTCGGGGGTGATTGTGAGGTCACTGTGGGCTGGCCCTTGGGCTCAGAGTGGAGTGGGACACTGGCTTCCCCACATGGCCACTGCCCCTCTCGCCTGCACACTGCCACTGCCTCCTTTACGGCCCCTCCACCTCCACTTCCACAGATATCTTCCTAAAACAGAGGTCAGCTCATGTCACTCCTGCTCTCAAAGACCTTCCATGGCTCCCTGTAGCCTATAAAATAATCTAAATTTCTTAGTTTGGCATCCAGGCTTTCCACAATGTACTCTAATTAGAATGAAGCTTTTAAAGGCTCAATTACTTCTATATTCATTAAACAAGTAGCTATCAGATGCCTAGTATGTGCCAAGCATGGTGCTGGGACTCTAATGCAAGATAAAAACCTAGACTTCCTAAACGTATGGGTCAGTGGGAAAGACAAGACAGTCAAATAATCATTCTGTGAATCCATAATGACAAATGAAGATGAGTGCTCTGAAGGAAAGGAATGTAATTCTCTGAAAGCCTGTGACCGCAAAACTAGACTTGGATTGGGTGATGAGCTTGGAGCTAAAGGGTAAGTAGGCTTCCACAGGGCTCTGGGCCAGAGGGATGAGCATGTGCAAAGGCCCTGAGGCAAGATGGAAGCATGGTACACTCGAAGAACAGAAGTCCAGGGTGACTAGAGTACCAGGTAGTGAGAAATGGTGCTGGAGAGGTGGGAAGAGGCCAGACCAGACAACCTTGGAGGTCACAGATTTGCTCAGATTGGGAAGGAAAAGGAAAACAATAAAGGGATTCAAACAGAAGGGACAGGAAACTCTGTATACAGAAATGTGCCAGAATCACAAATGAAGACCTCTGTGTAACCAGTACCCAGAATTCCCTCTTATGGCCCCACGAGTCACCACCTCCCTCCCAGGGTAAACACTATCGTAACTTCTAACTTCATAGATTTGTCTGTTTGAGTTTTACATAAAAGAATCAAACATGCATAGTCTTTTGTATCTTGTGTTCATTCATTTTATAATATATTTTCAGGATTTTAGCAATGAATTCATTTAGACTTTGAGTATGTGGAAATGTCCTTCTTTTACCTTCATTTTTGCAGAAAGATTTGTTGGATAACAGAATCCTTGGTTAGCAGTTTTTCAGCACTTTGTAACATCATTTCACTGCCTTCTGCCTCCATCGTAGGTATGGAAAGTCCACTGTTAATCGTATTGTTGCTTTCCCAACATGAGTCATTTTCTCTCTGTTTTTGTCTCTCAGCTGTTTCTTATGATGTGTCTACATGTGGATCTTTTTGTATTTATCCTACTTGAGTTTTGTTAAACTTTTTGGATAGGTATTTAATGTTTTCCATCAGATTCTGGAAGATCTTGGCCATTTTTCTTCCAATATTTTTTTCTGCCCCTTTCTCTTTCTATTTCTGGGACTCCCATTATACATCTGTTGACATGCTTGATGTCCCACTGATTTCTAAAGTTTTCTTCAATAATTTTTTCCCTCTCTCTTCAGATTGAATAATTTCTATTAATCTATCTTCAAGTTCACTAATTCTTTCCTCTGCCATATATAATCTGTTGTTGAGTCTTTCCAGTATAATCTTCATTTCAATTGTAATTTTCAACCCCAGAATTTCCATTCCTTTTTAAAAAAATTTCTCTCTCTTAATTAAGGATCTCTCTCTGTTGATTCATTGTTGTCATATTTTCATTTAAAAATTTAGACATAGGTTACTTTAATTCTTTGACTATATTTATAGCAGCTATTTGAAGTCTTGGTCTGCTAAATCCAACATCTGGGGACACTCAGAGACAGTTTCCATTGACAGCCAGTTTCCTGAGTGTGTGTCACACTTTCCAGTTTCTTTGCATATCTTGTAATTTTTTATTGAAAACTGGACATTAAAAAATATCATAGGAGCTTTGCCTTCTGATTCCCTTGTAAGGTTTATTGTTGCTGTTTTTTTCACTTGTTTCTTTGTTTAATAACTTATCTGGGCTCTGCGACTCAGACAGTTCCTCTCTGGGAGTCTGGGAATCCTGTCCTCCCTCTGGTTGGAGCCAGAGGTTTCTGATCAAGCTTTTTGTGTTCTTGTTTGTACATTTCAGCCTGGCTTTCTCAGCACTGTCTCTGGGTCTTCATAGATGATTGGACAGAACTTGTGCTGAAACCCCTTGGGTCAATGACCACCTGTCCTCTGCTGCTGAATCTGCATGTGGGAGCTGTATCAGTTATCTTACTGCTGTGTAACAAATCATCCCAAAGTTTAGTGGTTTAAAAGAAAAACGTTTATCCTCACACAGTTTCTGTGGTCACGATGCTGAGTGTGCCTTTGCTGGGCCCTCTGACTCGGGCTACAATCAGGGCATTGCAGATGTCTGAAGGCCCGACTAGGGAAGGCTCTAGTTCCAAGCTCCTCATCTGGTTGTTGGCAGGAATGGCTTCCTTGCAGTCTACTGAACTGAGGCCGTCAGTTCTTTCTTTGCTGGCTGTTGGCAGAAGGCCACCCTCAGTTCCTTGTGACATGTGCCTCTCCATAGGGAAACTCACAACACAGCAGCTTGCTTCATCAGAGCAGCAAGGGAAAAGAATCATTGTGAGAGTAAGAACAAGGCAGAATTCAGTCTTTTATAACCTAAATTTGGAAGTGACTTTCATCACTTTTGTCACATTCTATTTATTAGAAGCAAGTCACTATGTCAAGCCCACATCCAAAGGAAGGATTATACAGGGTACTAATACCAGGAGGCAAGGATCGATAGGAACAATTTGAGAAGCAGCCTATCACAAAGCACATTCAAAGTTCAGGCCATTTTCATGGGTTCCCTAGCTTTTTCTGCTGGGCTCCTTCTCATCCTCTGTGCACATGCACAGCCTCAGGCTCGGCCAGGAGTGTGCGGCTAGATCGGGCCCTTTGTAGTTTCTGTGGTGCATGTGTGCAGCTTTAGCGGGAATGTATTTGCCAGACCACAACTGCAACCTCGGTCTAGTGGAGCCCTTGGCCCTCCGGCTTTTCTGCCTTGGAGATTCTCGCTTAAATCACCATGCTGCCCAAAGCGGGTGCTGCTCACGGCTCCACCTCCAGTGAGTGCCCTTTAACCAAAGCAGAGACCCCGCGCACCCCGGCGGCCCCTCCCTGCTGACTGAGCTGGGAGGAGGGATGGGAGCAGCCTCAGGCTGGATGCCCAGAGCCTCGGTGTTGTACCAGACTTGTGCCGTATTCAAGCACACAGCCTGCTCCACTGGCTGCAGCCTCTGGTGGCCTCCAGAGCGCTGTGAGGTTGTTTTGGTCAATTTTACTTGATGATTGCTTTTTGGGGAGAAGAGTTACTGTCTCCTTGCTGAGCCATACACATACCCTTTATATAACCTTCTCTTTTCTAAGACTTCCTTTGCTGTCTTGAAATAGAATACATATAAAACTTTACCTATTTTTAAAACACATATTTTAAAAAGTTACTATAACCCGCTAAACTAATATAAAAGAGAGAAAAAACAATGCAGTCTCCCTGGGTAAATTTCAGTGTTTTAATGCTCGGTTACAACTAAAATAGAAGGCAACTCCCCAGATTTCCCAAATGCCCCTTATGGAATGGTACAACTGAGAGCCAACAAAATAATCAACTGTAATCAAGCAGGGATGGTTGGGGTGGGTGGGGGCTGGCAGGGTGCCGTTCCGTGGTCTGTCCCATTCCTCAGGGGAGGCCACGGTGGATAGGCATCAATACAGAGAGCGAGGGAGTGAGTGCGTCAGTGGACAGTACATGGGGCTCATGTCAGGCCTCTTCACCCCGGTTTCTCGTCCTCAAGTCTGCAGTAGCGATCCGTGGCCACATGTTTCTGGAAGCCCTGTTAGGGGCTGGGGTGGAGTGTGGTTACCAGAACTCTACCCTTGTGAACATACGAATTACCGCTTTCTTTCACCTGACAGCCATCATACCGTTTTGAAAGAGACAGAGGCCAAGCCAGCCAGGCCCCAGAGGATCGTCTTGTAGGATGGGAGGGAATTCACATCAAGGAGCATTTACAGATGTGTCCTTGGTGCAGGCACCATGCTGGGCACTGAGGGAGGAGGCTGCGGAGGTTACGTGGCGTCAGTCATTTCCTGGTGGAGACCCCGGCAGAGCCCGGTGGGCCCTGTGCTGTCCCCACGCTCCTGCCACTGCTCCCCTAGTGGTTTGGGTGAGTAAACACCACTCCAGTTGGAAGGAATGACCTAGATTGGTCTAAGCCAGTCGGCACACGGCATGCATTCCCCGGGCTGGACTGTTGGCGGGAGGGCCAAGCAGCATGGATCTGGAGCGTTTGCCAGGAATGCAAGGACACTGACCTCCTGGGAACGGCTGCGTGTTGGGATGGGAAGCCTGGAATGGTGGTGGTCATTTTGCTCTGATGCGGGATGGTGGCTGCCCTGAGGAGGAGCCCCATTCAAAGAGGAGGACAGAGCCAAGAGACTCACTGGGCGTGGAACCAGGGCCTGAGCTTTTCAGGTTTTTAATGTGTAACTCAGCTTGGATCGTGCTTTCCATGACGTGTAGTTGAAATCTTTCATGTGATACCAATAACTAAATCAGAGAGATGGTAATAGTGACATCACACAAGAGTGCTGTGGGAGCACAAGGGGGGCATGGTGAAGTCTGTTGGAGGGGATCAGAGAAGTCTCTGCCGAGGAAGTGCTCGAGCTAGGTCCTGAAGGATGCAGAGGACTTTGACAATAGCAGAATTGATTCCAGCTGGAGGGAAAGGCACTGGCCGAGGCGTGGAAGAGCCCTGGGGACAGGGAGTGCAGGGTGAGCTGGGAGCCAGAGAATGAAGGTGCTGGAACGCTTTGCTGCCATAGCAAGCTCGTTCATTTATTCATTCAATACGCAGTTCTTGAATGCTTGAAGCCCAGGAAGACAGTGTGCATATAGACAGCATCACAGAGCACAGTCGCTGGCAAGCCTGGATCCCGAGTCCAGAGTTGGACTGGGATTGAGCTGAGGCTTAGGAGA